TTTTGAAAATTTTGAATAAATTCAATTTAAGTTAAAAAAACATTTGACCTTAATTTGTTATATCAAAATATTATAAAACATGGTTCAACACATAACAACAAGCAAAGGCGAGAGGAGGTTATAGATGAAATTTTCACGGCTATAAACGAACCTTTTTGCAACCTCTGTCCTAATCAAATTGAAACAGGGTTACACGTCATTAAAGAGTGTGTGCTGGCACTTGCAGTTTGGCGAAAGTTAGCTTACCAATGGCCATTACAAAGTCTGCAATGGAATTTCAAAGAATGGCTAAACTGGCTACTGGACCCCTTGTACAAAACACGGAGAAGTGTTAGTAACCATAAGGGCCTTATGGTATGAACGCAACAAACGTATCAACGAACGAAAGATTTCTCGAGTTGAAAAAGTTACCGTTTTCATCCAAAGTCACCGCCAACAGTAGAATCAAAGAACTCATGCAAGCCCGCCACCAGAAGGCATGGTCAAAATCAACTACGATACAAGTTACAAACAAACAAAACATAAGGTTTGGTCAGGGGTAGTGATAAGAAACGACGAGGGATATGAAATGGGGGCATGTAGGAGACAAACTTGAAGAGTTCCATCAACGTTTGTAGCCGAGGCCATCACAGTAAACCATGCACTGCAACTGGCGATCGATCTAGGTTTCAGACGCATCATCTTGGAGGGAGACTCTAGATTAGTAACAAAGAAATTAGCATCCCCATCTTCCGATCAATCTGAAATCAGGGCAATAATCTAGGAAGCCCAACTGTTAGCTACGAAATTTTCATCATGCGAGTACAACTTTGTGCAACGAGAAGGAAATAAAATGGCCCACCTGTTGGCCACAAACCATACGGTGGGAGATGAAGATGTGTTCTAGGTGGAGGAAGTCCTAGAGAAAGTGGCGAAGCAAGCAGCAGAAGACAGGAGGTGGATCGACCCATCATAGCCTCGAATAAGGAGGAGAATAGTTGTGATAAGGCTCTACAGTTTTAATTTTTACATCTATGAGCAATCGAACGTTCAAAGGAAGAAATGAAGAATGCGAGGAACCCAGGAAAGTAAACGGTCGGATAGATTAGGTTTCCAGTTTATGCTTTTTGTAAAGTAAGACTTGATTTTTTTTAGATGCATTTTTATTTATTTATTTATACATGTATTGTATTTTATTTTTATTTTTAATTTTTTTAACTATCGGAGGTCTTCCATGGAAGCTGCTCTCAACCTGACGTTGGGGGCAGCCTACTACACTACCTCTCCTTTATCCCATTACATATGGGAATAGGGTTTTGTTGTTATTGAAATTTATTATTTCATTTAATTATTTAGTAAATCCGACAGTTATCTTCAAAAAAAAGTGATATATTGATCGAACAAATAATATAATAATTAATTTTAAATATTTAAAAAAATTTATTAAAAATAAATATTTAATAATTTTTCTCGCCATATTTTAAAAATCTATCATATAATAATCGTAAAAAAATCATTAACGATATATATATATATATATATTGAAAAAAATCCTCCGCACGTGGATCCTCCTTTTCTCCCTCCCGTCTGGTCATTCCTACTAGAGATGCACATAGCCGGATTTAAATCTGATCGGATCGATAAAAACTGATCTGGTTTTTTCACTAAGCCAAAAAACCGGTTTATAAAAAAACGGTTCGGATCATAACCGGTTTGGAGGGCCGGATGATGTAACCGGTGTAACCGGTTTCGGTTTGAAAAAAACCGGTTTTTTTAAAAAACCGGTTTTTAATCCGGTAAAAAATCCGGTCGTCCAATTTTTTAAACCTCAGACCGGATTTTTAAAAACATTTTTTTCCGGTAAACCGGTTTTTAATCCGGTAAAAAATCCGGTCGTCCAATTTTTTCCCAAACCGATTATATATCCGGTTTTAAAATATCCGATCCGGTTTAAAAAAACCGGTTTTTTCCAAATCCAGTTTCAGATATTTTTTGCGTAAAATCAGATATTCGGATTTTTTGTGCACCTCTAGTTCCTACCCCTACTCTCTCTCTCCTACAATTTGCCTTCCCCTCCTAACTAAATCCCACCTAAATCTTCACTTATTAAACCTAGGGTTAAGGATATATGAGTTTATGTTAGGAACTCGGGATGGACGACAACAAAAAAGGTAACTGACGACAGTTGATAATGAGGGTTGAAATTAATATTATTCTTATTTAAAAAAAAATTTAACGTGACAATTGTTATTTAACAATTTTTTAATGACAATTACAATGTAAGTACCTAAAAGAATAACACTGAAAATGTTAGACACTTATTTTGAATGAAAATTTCTTTAAATGTTTAAAATTAATTTTAAATATAATTTAAACACTTGTTTTATATTAAGTCTAATTAAAAGTGACTATCATTAATGAAACATACATTCAGCAACATACTAAGATAAGTCAAACCTTATTTCCAAAAAAAAAAAGGTCATAAGGTCAAACCTTGGTTTTTTTTCTCTAATGTATTTTATTTTCTCTAAAATACTTCTTTAGTTTTCTTTTAAAGTATTATCTTATTTTATGGTCTGAGTATTATCGTTTCTTTTTTTTCTAATTTTTCTTTTTATTTAACTTTAAATAAATATTTTTATTTATTTTAAAAATAAATTATACAAAAAATAATCATGTTTGAGTAAATTTTTATTTTTTCCACTGACATTATTGATTTTAAATAAAGTTTTTGTTTCAAAAGTAGCATATTAATCATTAACATTATTAATTTACAATAAAATGATCATTTCACCGTTATCATACGACAACATTAATAAAAAGGTTAATATTTAGTTTGACTCTTAGATTATCATTAAAACATCAAGTAACTTTTTAAATAATAATTTTATATATAATTTATCTTAAAAAATTTTAATCTCCACTTTTTTCTATTTTGATACAACTTAGTTCCAATGTGATATCTTCACCGAAATCTAACCCATCCATCTCTTTCAAAAACCTTAAATTCTTCAAATACCAAACCTTTATTATCCAAGAATCTTGAGATTTGTCCATCACTAAATCAGGCAAAAACATCTGGAAGAATTCTACGAAAAAGAAGAAAACAACAACAACAACAAGAAAACAATTGAAATAGTCGCTGTAGGTGGGGTTTGCAGGAAAGAAAACTTGTGGTGAAAGAGTAGAGACAGGCATTCAAGGAAAATGCTCACGTGCGGCAACTTTAATATATGACTAAAAAAAAGTGTTACTGATTTTGTTATTGTTTAAATAATAAGACCAATAAAAAATGACCGAAAATATTATTAGACGTTAAAAAATAACCGGTTTTGTTATTATTAGGCGTTTTAACCGTATTTTTGAAAAAATGACCGAAAACATTATTAGATGCTAAAAATGACTGGAAACATTATCATGTGCTAAAAAATGACCGAAAATGTTTAAAAATGATATTTTAGGTAAAAATAATAATATTACCGGTAATTATTTACCGATTTTATTATTTAAACAATAATAAAATCGATAACACCTTATTTTAATCTTATATTAACCTTATATTAAGGTGTCACACTGTAGAACTTCTCAGAATCCAATGGTTAGAAAAGATCTCTAGATTTATGTTCCCACCTACATCTTACATCATCATTTCATTTGTTTCGGTTTAATATTGTCCCTTGTTTGATCCATCGGTGAGGAGAAAACTAACATATTCTCAATTTCATAAAATAATACTTATTTATTTCACCAAATTAATTTTTAATCGTAAATACTTTTTAATTTTAACTTATTATTCTTTAAAATTAATAATTTAAATTTTTATATTTTGAAGAAAACTTTAATAATAATTAGATAGTTTATATATATATTATAAAATTTTATTAGATAGTTTATTTTAAATATAATATTTTTTAATAAAAACATAGAGTATAATATATTAATTTATGATATTTATCAATAATCCCACTCGGTTTCTTCCTTTTTATAAACTTCATGTAAAGTTATTTCTCATTGACGCGAGTTAAAACTCAATCACGTAATTAAATAAATTAATTATCATTTATAGTGTTTTATTATATTATAAACATAATCAACTATGCTTATGCTTATGGTCATACTTTTCTCCGCATCTAGCATTTCTTTGTAATAGTATCCTTTACAATTAAAAAAAAAAGTATACTTTTTTCTAGAGGTTTTAGATTAGAGTAGATACGTCTGTAGTACATATACAATATCAATGATTTAAAAATTATGAATAAATATTATCTTATAATCATCTTATATTATTAAAAGATTAATTCAATATATTTTAATTTTAAAACTTTTTGAGATGGTGCAAAATACTGAAATAAATAATTATTAATTGAGTTAACTAAAAGTTGGTTTATTTTAATTATTAATAAAATATAATGTTAAAAGAATTAAACTTGTCTTGGTTGATTTTTTGTTTAAACTGAATAAAATTATAGTTAATTTCTGTTAACTAACTTGTTTTTTTAACAATTGTTAAGTAACTTGTTTTTTTAATAATTGTTAAGTAACTTGTTTTTTTAATAATTGTTAAGTAACTTGTTTACAACAGACTAATCAACCACCCTTAATGCAGTACATAAAAATGTAAACCAAAAAGGAAAAAAATGGATTTTGTGTGTTAACTGTTAAGTCATTTTCTTTGTTCTCCTTTCCCTTAATTACACATCAAAAAGTGCTATTCTTTGTTTTACCCTTTTCTTCTTTCTAATATTACTTCCAATTGCCATACTTCGATGCTCATGCTATAGAACGGGACCCACAGTTCCTTTTCCACGCGCAGTCAATTTATAAAATGTATCGAAATTCCCTTCTCCTCCCTATCCCGTTGTGAACCAAAGAGAGATATCTTGTAATTAAATACCCAATACAAGGTTAATTTGTCTTTTGATACCGGCTCAATTCTTTCTTCCCGCGAGAGAGAGAGAGAGAGAGAGAGAGAGAGAGAGAGAGAGGGGGGGGGAAGGAAAGGAAGAACTCGTGGAAGGTTTGGTATTGTGATGACACGACCAAAAACATGGCTAAGCAAAAAACCCTTTCTCTCTGCAGTTTATTTTTCACTTCTTCGAAACGGCGGTTCTTTGAATTTCGTAATTTATGTATGCAATCAGAAATCAAACATTCCAACCCTAACACTCTCTACTATTTTGTTTTCTTTCCCGTTTGATCACCGCTTTTCTTGTTTTTCATTTTTCTCGGCTGATTTCGCTGTAATTATATTCTGCTAAGGTTTTCTTTCTCTTCTTCGTTGATTTTCCTGCATTGCCTTATTTCAAAACGTTGGCGGTTTGATTCTTTTTGTTTTTAACGGAGATAGAGAGAGATATGGGAGACTTGGTGAAGGTGCTGTACATAGTTGTAGTGGACGTAGGTGAGAAGAAGAAGAAGACGTCGTCGTTTCGGTACACGCGTCCCGTTCTTCAGAGTACTCTCCAACTCATGGGATGCAAAGCTCGTCATGCTTTCAAGGTTCTTCTTTTGTTACTTTTGTTTTCTTCATTATGGATTTACGATTTGTTCTCGATTTCAATTCCGATTGATCATATTTGTTTATTTCTTTTATATTTTTTTGTTTGATAAATTATAAATACAATCTAGTTGATTAAACTGTGGATGATTAGTTGATAGATATGGATTGCTTACAACGTGTTCTATAAAATTCCTTTCCAGATTTACATTTTTCCGGATTTAATGCTAAGTCCAGGTAGTTTGATAGTAGTATATGCATTTTTTTGCTTCTTTATTTATCAGGAAAAAAAAAATCAGCATCCTGTCGTTTTCATAGAATTATGACTGAATAGTTATCTCGTTAGATTTTTAGGGTTCTATTTGTTTCTGCCTTTCAAACCGTAAATAATTGGAATCAATTTAGATGAAGTCAGTTTTGATCTGTTTATCAGTTTTTTTGGCACCTTTGCGTTCTAGATCCTGTTACACCATGTGGTCCCATCCAGGGATTTAAACTGTGGTTGCATTTTTTGTTGCATTGTATATATCACGGTTGTGGACATAACATATGTTATTGCGGTCACTTCAAGCATCGTGATCGAGAATATATTCCCTTTGTCTTGTTATATTTCTTTTGATTTTTTAAAAAAATGAGTTGGATTTTTCTTGATTTTACCGTAACAGAACAATAATGGGAATAGTGGCCTGTTATTGCCGCAATTGGCCGTTACCGGTTAAATTGCGGCCGCGATCTCGGACGGTTCCGCTACCGCTATAGAGCGGCCGCTATTCTACTACCCGACTGTTATTTAAATCCCTAGTCTCAACTCCCATCATCGTTTTCTGAATTTATTGCCTAATAATGTGCATTTATTGGTTTAATTTTCAGCTATATATTACTTCTGCTTCCTATTAGGTGATGAGAGATCATTGTTATGTGAGAGGTTGAGTTAAAAGTAGTTGCCTTGTAAAAGTATATACAATCAAATGCCTTTATAGAATTCTTATATAAACTATACCATTCATATTCTCTGTTATGCAGTCACTGCTGACATTAGTGTTAATAATTTTAGTGTTTGGAATTTTTGCTTGTCATTTTCATATTTAATTTTCTAATTTGACATGATTGGTTATTTTTCACGTTTATACACATTCTTATGGCAAGTGGATCCTTATTCTTAATGATTGTTTGTATTTCTTACCAGATTAGCCAGAAGGTTTTTGAATTGATAAGAAATGAACCGTTTTATGAATCACTACTTCATGAGGGAAGTGAAACTTTAAATTCTGATGGTTTCAAAGGGAACTCTGAGAAGGAAGATGTTTGTCCCACCAATGGTGGCATTCATAGAGCAGAGACAGGAAGCTACTTAGTTTCAGATAAAGATGATCAAAATAAGAGTATACCATTTGAGTTGTACAAAAGATGCACATCGGTTGTTGTTAGAAGAGAAACTTTCTTAGATGTTGTTTGTGAAGCTCTGTCTGAATACAAGTATGTGGGTCCGAACCAGAGAGCTGACTTGGCTTTGGCATGCAGGTATCATGCAACTGACATCTTTTGGCTACCCAAAAGTTTTGCAATTAACATGGCCTGTAGATTGGTTACTCCTTTCAGACACTCTTTATTTAACATGAAAAAAATTTCATAGAACATATTTCAAGAGAAACAATTGAGACGAGTTCCTGCATCAAAATTTCAATTGTTTGTCAATTGTTCTATTCCTCCTCTTGGTTTGGCCAACAAGAGAGTTCATCATCACAAGTATTCCATAAATTTTGAGTGTAACATGTTTATTTATCTTTAATTCCTAGTTATTATTGCAAATTTGCATATATGATTTGATCTAGTATTGTGATGGTTTTAGAATGGTCTTGTTCAATGTCGTTTGCATGGTGGCTTCATATCAGATGCAAGAATGTTCTTGTCTTCCTTTGTAAACTTTATTCGATCTTCACTTCAGAATCCGGGAGAGGAAGGAATCTGTAACTGTGCTGTTGTGTGGTACTAGTGGTTGTGGCAAATCTACTTTGTCTGCTTTGCTGGTATCTTCTGCTTTTTCATATTAATGTTGCACACTAGTTTTTGTAACTGCAATCATATAAAAGCTAATCTTGGTGCTTTGATAATGTCATGCAGGGTGGTAGGTTAGGAATTACAACTGTGATTTCAACTGACTCTATTCGCCACATGATGAGGAGTTTTGCGGATGAGAAGGAAAATCCTCTACTCTGGGCTTCAACCTATCATGCTGGGGAATGCTTGGATCCTATGGCAGTTGCAGAAGCTAAGGCTAAAAAACAGGCAAAAAAGTTGTCAGGCATTGCTCAGTCACTTACTAAGGATGAGGTAGTTGATGGTTCTTCTGCTAGCAAGGGACCCCAGCCAATGGAGAGTGGTTCTACTAATACTGAATTGATCACTTCCAAACAGATGGCAGTTGAAGGGTTCAAGGCACAAAGTGAGATGGTAATTGACAGTCTAGACAGGCTTATCACTGGATGGGAAGAAAGGAACGAGTCTGTGGTTGTTGAGGGTGTTCACTTAAGCCTCAATTTTGTTGTAAGTATACTTTTTGTTTGTTTCCTGCAGCAAAATGTTTTTGTCCCCTGCTTCCTATATCATTTTTTGATCTTGTACAGATGGGGCTTATGAAGAAACACCCTTCAATTATACCATTCATGATATACATTTCAAATGAAGAAAAACACTTGGAAAGGTTTGCAGTTTGTGCAAAGTACATGACATTGGACCCTGCAAAAAATAAGTACGTAAAGTATATAAGGAATATCAGGACGATACAAGATTATCTATGTAAACGAGCTGACAAGCATTTGGTCCCCAAAGTAAACAACACAAACGTTGACAGAAGTGTTGCAGTCATACATGCCACGGTTTTCAGTTGCCTCCGAACGCGTGAAGCTGGAGAGCCTCTTTATGATCCTATGACAAACACAGTTGCGGTGGTTGATGAGTACCGGAACCAGTGTGCTGCCGATTCACTAAGCTCCAAGGGAATGTTTCAGTTGATCCAGAGGAATGATTCTTGTAGGCAATTGATGGCCCTTCTTAACACTGATGGATCTGTAGCAAAAGCTTGGCCAGTTGATTTGGTTGATGGTAATGGAAAACCTATCTCTGGCCATGGGACTGAGGGTGGAATAGGCATTCCCTTGTATGGACCTTTAAAAATTGGCAGGGCTGAACCTGTTAATCTTCAATTTGGTCACTTTGGAATTAGTGCCTGGCCTAGTGATGGTGGCACAAGTCGTTCTGGAAGCGTGGATGAATCAAGATATTATGGTACCGATAATGGTAGTAGGTACCAATCTTCGTGCTGTAGCTCACCAAGGATGTCTGATGGTCCAGCAAAAGAGGTAGTGCCTCTTACAATGTGTTTTTCTTTTCCAAACACTCTTTACCAATGCTTTAGTTATGTTTGGTGTGTATATTTCAAAGTAGATGGAATAACAAGACGGAAGTCACCTTAAAAACTAACAGTGGATCAAAAAAAATGTAGTCATGCTGTGTTCATTTCGCACTTTGTTTACCCATTCTCTTTCTCACAGTTGAAGGAGGAAAACTCTGTGTATGGAAGTGATGAAGAAGTTGACGATCCACCTGAGGTAGACAGTGATGAGGATATTAGCGATGATGGTGACAAAGAGGTCCATGAAGAGGTATGAACTTGTGTTAGACTCTACAATGAGTGATATGTATGCATATGATATTACTACATTGATTTCAGAGATCAAATTCCAAAGTAAACTACAATGAGTTGTTATTGTTTGTTCATTGTTCGTTAATACTTATGAACGCGGGATGTCTGAAATCACATTAGGTTCTGCTTCATAATTCCTATAAATTTTTGTTCTAATCCTAAATCTTACACTTGAAAATCTGGATGAAACAAGGCTTTACATTCTACTTGCGCTTCTTTATGTGGATTTTGCTCTAATATTTATTAATTTTCTGTTCTAACAGGTTGGATCTGTTGATGAAGGCTCAACGAAATCGGATGAAGAGTACAATGATTTGGCATTGCAGGATGTGATGAATGGCTACTTCCCTGATGATGAAGAAGACCATGATGTGGCAATCTCCAGGGATGAATCGACATCAGATAAATATAAGAACTTGGACCTCTTCCTTAGAAGTATAAGAAAGCAGTTTTCGGAGCCGCTTTGCTCTCACCCTTCCCTGCTTACGGAGAAGATGGAGAAGGGAGTGGTACCTTTCGGGAGTTTAAAATGCGAAAACGGTGCCTCAGTCTTTCGGCCTTGGGGAAACCAGGATCCATAATTGGCCATCCCATAGTTTGATGTTTTCTTTTTGACCTTTTATGGCTCGTTAATTGCTGGATATCTAATCCAACTTGCTATCCTCTCCACTTCTCTGGTGTCTGGTGTGATGCTTTGGAAATGGCAATGAGCTTTAATGTTTATTTTTGGCTTTTGATAAATGCCGTTATCAAATTTTGGCCTGGGTAATTTAGGAGCTCATAATCAATTTAATGCTAATTAATAATTAACATTGCATTTGTTTTTATAAACACTTTTAGTTTATTGATTAACTTTAATTTCAAATTTATTTTTATTTCACCATAAAGAGTTTATCTCGATTCGTTTACTAAGAATCATAAAAAAAACCGAGTTCAAAATTTAATGGAGATTATGTTAAAAGAATTAATTGAAATTTAATTGAATTTTGAATAAGCAATTTAAAACGAATAAAGTTGAGCATTAAACATAAATGACATAACAATTGTCATATCTCAGTTAGCATGTTAACGTCCATCTAAGACAAATGTAGATTTTTTACCCAAAAAGGATGAGTTGGAACACATGAATAGTCGAGTGATTATTTGTAATTTTTAAAATTGAGGGCTCAACAAAGCAATTTCATATAATCAGAGTATCATTTTATGATTTTTAATAGTCGATGACTCAACAAAACAATCTCGTATAATAGGGAACATTTGTGTACTTTACCTTTTAAAATATTTTTAATGAAAATCAATAACATAACATACAACATAGTTAATAATAATTAAAATACCAAGTAATAATTTATAAATGAGAAAATTGATACTTATGATCAAACAAGTGATTTGTTAGGTAAGTTATTTAATGAAAATCAATAACATGACAATCAACATAGGTGATAATAACTAAAACACTAAGTATTAATTTATATAAATGAGAAAATTAATACTCATGATCAAACAAATTTATATATTACTTATTTACTATTCCACTCATAATTATTTGTTAGAAGAATTTTAATAAATATATTAATTCATGTAAAATGTTTTTTTATCATCTACACAATGTGAATGTCACATAATTTAATAAAAAGAAGAAAAAAAGGCCCTCGATAATTAATGGGTGTGATGATTCTGAGAAAAGTATCCAATCTTGCCTGTTACCAGAAACTTGATTCCTACTTACTGTAAAGCAAGCATTTAATTTAGCAAACAGCAGCCCCATAACTGCACCTTCAAATCCATTCTCACTATTTTTTTTTTGTCATTTCAGATATTGTTTTCCAAACATGAAAGATCTCATGTCAGAGACCAATGGAGGGTCCTTCTCTTTGCATGTCTGCCACATGAACACCATCAAGACTACAACATCAGGGGACCATTGTTGGTCCACTCCACTCAACCAAACTCTTTGGATCGCATTCATTTCATAAATAAAATTTGCATCTTGCTTCAACCCTCTAATTTGTTTGTATACAGAAGTTTAATTAACAAGCTCTAGCTTCTTTAAACTCACCTTTAATGTAGAAAAGGTTATCAATAATTAGGGAGTGTTGTTCTTTTTAAAGGTCTTAAATTCAAACGGTTGCTTCTGCAGGGTGTGTATACGTTATCGATATTTAAGAAAAATATATTATTTTCTAACCGCCGCATACTATTTAGAAGAAAAAAAATTAATGTACAAAACATTTTTTTTTGATATATGAAGTTTCAAAAACATGACTGATTGAGTCTAGTATAGAGCTTAAATAATAACTGCATATGATATTTATTTAAAAAAATGAATGAAAAAAGTAATCAACACAAAATCAATTCACATTTACAAAAAAAAAACTATACTTGTATTATTTGTCTCATTGTATATATATTCATAATTGAGAGATAAATTCACTATGACTATAAACTTTAGAAGAAAAATTAAAATACTCAATGCACAAATGTTAAACCCTAATTATAAAATAAATCTATTTTCTATCTTTGTTAGTGCTTTAATTACAACACAGTATTTACAAAACCTTTTTATACATAAATTTCCTATAAAATACATCATAACATAAAATTATTACATGATATAAATATTTATTTTTAAATAAATTTAATCAAGTATTCAAAATAAATCAATCATGTTAGTAATGCACTAATAAGAGACATCCTTTAAGTTCTAATTATATCAGACCTCGAAATCAATTTAAATAATCCATCTTCTTCTCTTATAAGAGAAACCTTCAAATAATAGAATAGTAATATATAAAAACTAATTACAACCTAGAGTTTGGACAAGTTAATTAATATATAGAATCAGGAGTTTAACATCTTGGCAATAATTTCATAAACGTCCAATGGCAGATAATTTACTTGTCAATCTTAGAATAGAAGTTGGATGCATGGCACAACATATATAACTAGGGATGTACGTAAAGTTTTATGTTAGGGGACGAATTTATAAAATTTTAAGAGAGACTGAAAACATATTTTTAATTAAAAATAAAAATATATATAAAGGTATACATAAATTTAAAACTTTTAAGGAAGATAACTGACTCCATCTACTCCCCTTAATCTATCGACTATCATGTATATATTACAACAATAATTAATTAATTAATTCCGCACAAAAAAAATGAAGCAAATCGAATCCATTACCATGTGACAACAATAATGTTTTTGTCTTTGACAGCCCAACATGACATGACTTGGGAATCTTAGCACAAGAACATCTCAAGTACAAAGCAAAACATGTAGGACAGTACACATTTTATAAATACTGGCCAAAAATATAAATTTAGTTTGAGAAAATTAATATTTTCTTTGAGGCTTAGCTGGATATATCATCATCTAATCTGTGGAAGCAGGCATTTGAGTAATGAAACATACCTGCGATTATAACGTTTTAATCAAATATCCATTAGATTATCAGTACATGAAAATCCAACCCATGCACTGCAAGAGATTTCAAGACCTGAAAACCAAATCATTTGATAATGCTTTAGCCTTATATGCATGGCTTCCTATTACACATCTATGGATGTATGTATGTATGTATGTATGCATGCATGTGGACTAGCTGCAGCCATTGTACGGTATACATGCATCCATATCTATCTATCTTTTGAAATATCAGAGTAAATCTTAAATGGGGACCATCAATCAATGATGATACGAGAGCTTTCTAATCCAGTTACCAATTTATATTTGTGTTTATTAAGACTAAACATGAAATAGTTTCCAAAATAGATCAAGCTTTTGCAGAATGTATATTTTGTAAGCTAGCATGAAATATTGAACAATAAAGTTTCTGATAAGTGCATGAGGCTAAAATATTTGGAGAAGCTATAGAAATCAAAGACAAAGAAAACCTAGAAAATGCATATCCATGTTCACTACACACTACGAATGTAAGATTTTATGTTAGAGAACCAACTTATAATATTTTAAGTGGACAAAAACAAATATCAATAAAAATACAAAAAGTTTAAAATATATAAAATTAAAAAAAAATTGGAAAACAATTGTCCTGTCAACCCCTGTCCATCCTTAACACTAACTAGCTAGCTTCAATATAATAAGGACTATAAGCCAAATACAAAGAAGAACTTGACTGTCAATATCACTTAACCACAAGACATTAAAAAGAACCCAATTAACCATATATAAAAAACATAGTTATATACCCTTAATATAGCATGTAATAAAAGTATCAAAGCTTAATCAGTTTGCAAGGTGGTTTTGGTCCACTAAATTGTGATTGCAGAAGAAGCACAACAAAGCAAATGGCAGTGTGACCATAATTCCCAGTTTTCCAACATTATTATATAGTAATTAGAGACAGAAAGTTCACTTGTAAGAATGCCCTCAAATGTCTAGTGGAGACAAAGATATGGTGGGAAGAAGAACCAAAAGCGTTGCAGTATCCTAGTTATCTGCTATCACCAAATTCCATAAAACCAATAACCCGATTCTCTCACCTTTCCTTCTCCAACGACACTTACCTGAAAAATACCTTGTTGCTGCATTATATCCCATTACCTGAAAGCCTCACAAGCAACAAAATCGATAATGAAATAATAGAAACCAAAGATCTGCAGAGTACCAACAAGGGATCTAATTTCTTTTAATAGCATCAAGAGATATAACAAGGTAAAAAAAAGACCTTTACGACCTTTTTTAAGACCACAATCCATGAAAAAAAGTAGCTATTTCCACTGCATCAACATATATGGCTCAGAAGAATAATCACAGATCTGGGATCTGCAGGTCAAACTCCTTTAAAAGAATAGCCATATGTTATTGCTATTATCTTACCCCTATTTATTAAAGAATAATTGAAGTATGTCTGTAATCTAAGAAACTATAAAACTCACCTGAGAACAACAGAAAAAGAGTCTTTTCTCATATTGTGTAGTCGTTTATTGCCGATGCAGCATCATCAAGATTCTCACTTTAAAAGAACTTTGGCAGTCAAATTACAAAAAAAAAAATGTTCTTTTTTTCTTCATCACCTCCGTGCATTTGCATGTGAATCTTGATGATGCCTCACCTGCAAACAATGACTGTCGATCTATCTACTTATCTAGATATCCATGCACATACACCCACAGATATACTATATATATTTATATAGAAAGAGAGAATTAGTGTTTTGGTAAAACTAAAGCTCTAACAAGTTTGGGGTTGACCCAAAGAGACTAAAATCATGGGGGTAATTTTGCAAGAAAGAGAAAATCAAAACTGAAAAAGGGAAGACTTAATACCCAGAAGTTATTCTTTTATTATTGTATATATATTCTTGGAAGGAAAATTTTCCGGGACCAGCTGATCTGGCTAGTTACAAGTGGTTGAAACATAAAGTGATTACGTGAGATCTACCCAACAGAAATCTACCAAGTTGAACTCCATGTTTACAATCACACAAAACCACAAAAAACCCTATTATTTCCCTCCTTTTTGTGAACCAGAAAAAGGGAAGTTTAAATACAAATTTTTCTTAGAGAAAAAGACGGAGAGTTCATTTGAAACTATGATTTTTCTTTGCAGATTGAATTACTCTTGTCGAAAAATACATTTATTGG